AAAAGATTTGTCGTCCACACAGATGCGTCCATGTACGGACTGGGGGCAGTGCTAAGCCAGGTCGGAGAAGATGGGGGAGAACACCCTGTCGCATACCTGAGTAGAAAGCTATTGCCCAGGGAAGTGAGTTATGCGGCAGTGGAAAAAGAATGTCTAGCCCTGGTCTGGGCCCTAAAGAAGCTCACCCCCTACCTTTATGGTCAGGAATTTACCCTGATCACAGACCATAACCCTCTAGTATGGCTGAACCGAGTGGCTGGGGACAATGGACGACTACTGAGGTGGAGCCTAGCCCTACAACCGTATAATTTCTCCATCCAGTATCGCCCAGGCCGGTTCAATGGGAATGCAGACGGACTGTCCAGGCAAACAGAACTTTTACCTTAGAGGCAGACCGGACAGCCCCAAGTTGACCCGAAAAAGGTCAATCCGGGTCTGCCGGAGTGTTCCACAAAAGGGGAGCAGTGTAACAGAACTATGCTGTATGCCTGGGCCAGTGAACTAACCAAAATCAGCAGGAATTCGTCACATTTAGTGCATTGCAACCATTCGAATGGATTCGCATGAATTCCCTGTGTAAAGTATAGGTGGCCGCCATTTCGGGACTTTACACGTGGCCGCGGCCATCTTACGTGCGAACAGCGGTGTTTGCCTGTCGACGCGTGGAACTAAAATCGGATACGCAAACAGGCGAACACCGCTGAGTCCTCCATACTTCCAGAAGTTCGCACGGAAACTACCGAATCACCGGACGTTCGGTAGTTATGTTCAATCATCTAGGGGGATTGCGGCGAACCCCGAGATTCGAATGGATGGCAAGAATTTCATACCTTTTTACAGGCGAACGGAGACCGACCGCAAGGCCAAAACTCATGGAACTATTTTCGGCTAGTTGGTCTGTGCGGTCGGTCAAAACTTTGGAACTCTGTATCTCCCGAACCATTCATCCGAATGGGCTGATTTTTGGACATGTTGGTCCCCTGAATGAGAGCTATCAAGCGACCCAGGATTTAAAGCTGTACCCCCTGTTTTTGGGGAACATCCAGAACTGGGGTAAAATGTTGTACGTTTTAATTATGTTATATGTTATCTGAGGGGAGGAGACGTGGGGGTGTTACCAGGTATATGATTGGGTGTTTTTATCCTCCCCCTGGGAGTATCCTGTGTGTACCTGATCCCAATAAAAAGCAGGCTGGGTGTTCCAGTCCTGAGATCTTCTTGACCCTTCAAAACGTAGCCTTGTCTCGTTCTTGGAAGGGGATTATTTGGGAATGTTATTCTGCTCCTGTTACAGCTGAACCTGACTCTTACTCTGGATATCGTGGATGGGATTATACCAGCTTACTTCTCCACAGCAGCTTAAAGGGGAAAAAGGACGTCTCCAACGGCAGATACCCTCACTCTACCCGGGTAGCCGTTACACCTGCTCTCTTGTATTGCTGAGGTTTGCTACCAACTAGGTGGGTTTAGCTATGGAGCTTGTCTAGTGCCCTCTGTTGGTAGCAACAGCAGTATGCACTACCTGAATTGCAAGACTGGTTCATTTGCATATTCGGGTAGATTTGCATATTGCTAATTCTGCAGGCAGGTGAGATATTTACTGTTAAATATTGTCTCCCCCCACCCCTTTAAAAATGTGCCATTGTGTTGTGATAAGTCACTGTGTGTTGCTTGATATGGTTTGACTGTTTGTGATTTTATTGAGGTTTTACAACAATGTTATTGTGGTGACCCTATTGGCTGGTCCCAAGGGAAATAAAGGTTTTGACAGTTCTTCTTGATCCCTCTAAATGTAGCCTTGTCTCGTTATTGGATGGAGCTGTTATAATCACACTGGGGATTGCTATGCTCTGCATGCTCCCCTGAGCTTGAGTCACTTAGCTCTTTTAAGAGCTTGTTCCTGACACGCTCTCCTTGGAGGAGGGGTCTTCACCACACAGTCCTGGATGCTGGAGGTTCGTACAGGGTGGAAGGAAGAGTTCTTTCCCACACAGTCCTGGAGGACAGAAGCTGATCCAGGGTGGAAGGAAGATGGCGAGACTCCAGTCCAGATACGGCGTCTGCGGTGGTTGTGGTGTCTGCTGCAGCCTCAGGAAGCACTAGGAGCATCCGTCAACGGAGGGTACTCAGTCGGAGTACAAGGAGCTCCGTTACACTTCCCATATATCCTGCCACTCCGTTCCCTCTAATACCTCCCCCAGGTCGGCTTCCCACTGGTCGGTGTATCGCAGCGCGCCCTCCTTGTTCGAGTTCCCATTGAGGTGGTTGTACAGTAGCGTAATGAGTTTGGTTTGTGTTGTCTCATTGTAACATAGTTTTTCGAAGAAGGTTAGTGGTGTCAGAGCCGCCTTCCGTATGTCAGGGTTTTGTGCAAAGTCACGGATCTGCAAGTACCTAAAGTAGTCTCTTGTTCGTAAGTTGGCTTTGGTGGCTAGGTGTTCGTAGGTGACTACATTTTGGTTCACATATAGGTGTACGTATCTTTGGAGTCCCGTGGCCTCTATCCCCTTATAGTCTCTCGCCTGCATTCCGGGAGGGAAGGCCCTATTCCTAAGGACTGGTGTCATGGGAGACGGGTGGGAGCTGAGGGCGTACTTCGTTTTGGTTTGGTCCCAAATCTGTATGGAGTTGAGTATGGCTGGGTTCGCTGTTCTTAATATGGCTCTTTGGGTGCCCATATGGAAAATTGCGGGAGATCTTGACCCGTCATCAGCGACTCTAGATCCACCCATCGTCTCCTGTCAGGAGGCGTGTGCCACTGTATCACCTGTGTCAGCTGTGCAGCTAGATAATAGGTGTAGACATTGGGTAGTCCCAGCCCCCCCCTGGGTTTCGGTCTGTACATGAGGGCGCGCGCGATTCTTGGGCGTTTGTTGTGCCAGATGAAGGCATCAATCGCTCTTTGTATTCCTGTCAGGTCCCTCCGTGTTACTCTTATTGGGAGTGCTTGAAAGAGGAATAGTATCTTTGGCAGCACGTTCATTTTTATAGAGTTTACTCTCCCCAGCCATGAGATGGGCCTGTCCGTCCACTGCTCTAGTTCTGCGAGAAAGGGTCCGGAATAGGGGTGTATAGTTGCGGGCAAATAGGGAGGATGTGTTCGCTGTTAGCCGTATCCCTAGATACATGAGTTCGTCAGTGGTTATCTTGAAGTGATACGTGTCGCGTATGTGGGTGAGTTCCGGGGGCTCCAGGTGGAAGGGCATTGCCTCGGACTTGGAGTAGTTAATTTTGTACCCTGCTATGTTGCCAAATCGCTCCAGTACGAGCGATAAATGGTGGAGAGAGTGTCTCGGCTCCCTGAGCGTCAGCATGACATCATCGGCATACGCCGAGACCGTGAATGGTGTTCCCCCCACGTGACGCCCCTGATTTGCGGGTGTTGTCTGATAGCTTGTAGTAGTGGCTCCAAGGTTAAGGCGAAGAGCAGGGGGGACAATGGGCAACCCTGTCTGGTGCCATTTCCCAGGGTGAAGGGTGTTGTGCGTGCCCCTGTGATGAGTATTTGTGCCCTCAGATCGGTGTATAATGCTTGTATAGCTGTTACGAAGGTCTCCGGGAACCCCTGGAATCGGAGTAATTCAAATAAATAAGGCCATAACACCCTATCAAACGCCTTCTCCACGTCTAGTGAGAGCGCCAGAGAAGGCGCCCCGGATTCCCCCATGTGCCAGATTGTGCTGACCCCTCGTCTCGTGTTTTCATACAATTGGCGACCTGGCATAAAGCCCACCTGATCTGGGTGGATCAAGCGCGGGAGCAGTACGTTGAGTCTGGACGCCAGGATTTTGGCGAATATTTTGAGGTCGGTGTTAATAAGTGAGATTGGCCTGTAGCTCGAGGCCAGTGTGTCGTCTTTCCCTGGTTTTGGTAGGAGGACAACATTTGCTGTAGCCGGTCGCCATCAGGTGTCCCACCCTGCAGAAAATGGTTGCTAAGGGTCGTCAGCTGGGGGGCTAATACGTCTTTAAATTGTTTGTAATAACTAATGTCATAGCCGTCCGGACCCGGTGCCCTATTGCCTTTCAGGGAAGCTATGGCTGCCTCCACCTCGAGTTGTGTGATTGGTTCTTGTAGTGCGTCCGCTTCCGCCCCATTCACCTTTGGGATAGTGAGTTCGGAGAGAAATTGGTGTATGTCTGCGATATAGGCCGCGTTGGTGGCCCGGAGGCGGGGGGAATGGTTGTATAGTTCTGAGAAGTAGGAGGTGAACACTGCATTAATCTCGTCGGGCGTTTCGGCCAGTGTGTTATCTGTTGTGCGTATTTTTGTTATGATTTTGCCTTGCGGTCTCGGGCGGAGCGCCCTAGCCAAGAGTGAGTCTGTCTTATTTGCTTTCTCGTAAAACAAGCGTTTGGACCATAGGATAGAGCGTGATACCGCCTCCAAGGTGAGGTCCCTGATAGAGTGTCTGAGGTTATTGAGTTCCCTAAGGTTCGAGTCTGTCGGATTCGTTTTGTGTTGTTGCTCTTTTTTACGTAGGGCAGACTGTAGGTCGAGTAGCTGTTTTGTTTTAGCCCACTTTTTCTGTGTGGCTAGCTTAATGAAGTGGCCGCGTAGGACTGCTTTATGCGCTGCCCAGATCGCGGTAGGGCTAGCTTCGGGGGTTGCGTTTATCTCAAAGTATTCTGTGATGGCTTGCCGGGTTGTGGCTTGTGTTGTGTCGTCTCTTAAGAGGCTAGTATTGAGCCTCCAAGACCAATTGGACTTGTAACATAGGTTGCCTAGCGTGAGTGTTATGTCTGCGTGGTCTGACCACGTGATGTTGTTAATGTCTGTGTGGAAGACCTTGGCCATCCCTGCTCCATTGAGAAACATGTTATCTATTCTAGAGTAGGTGTTGTGTGGTGCCGAGTAGTAAGTGTAATCAGTCGTAGTTGGGTGTTGTAGTCGCCAGGCGTCTAGGAGGGCTGTGTGTGTCAGGAATGTGTGTAGTTGCCTGTCTTGTCCCCCTCTGCCCTGCGATCGCACCGTGCCTGGTTTTGAGCTCCTGTCAGCTGCCAGACTTGGCACCTCCGGCAAGGAGGACACCCCCTGTCGGGCTGTCCCCTGTCTGTGCCTGTTGGTGGGGAGTGGGAGTCTCGTGTCCGGCGGCCATCTTGTGCCATTTGAAGCCGCGAACATGTCTGCCACGGTAGGGGAGGAGGTGAGCGGATCCCGTTGTTTCTTCCCTCGTGGGGTGGCACTGGGACCCATGTGGGGCATGCAGGCGTCTGTGTGCGGTCGCGGTGCGGCTTGCAGGGGCTCGGGTGAGTGTGGATGCACGGGAGCTCCCTTCTCAAGCCGCCATCTCCGTCGGCTGCTAGGCCACGCCCCCCATCGTTTCACTTTTTATGTGACTTCTGAAGGTAATTGGTTGCACCAGAGCTTTTTATGGGCTTCATAACAAAGGCGGTGAATACATACGCACATGCCAAGTTTCTGTTTTCTATTTCTAAAAAATAGTTTATGTATACATTTTTCTCATTTCACTTCACCAACTTAGACTATTGTGTTGTGATCCATCACGTAAAATTCAGATTAATAAAACCTTGAACTTAAGGCTGTAATGTATACAATGCTGGGAGGGTGGAGTGTTCCTCTGAGGTATTTTGGGGTTAATACAATGCTGGGAGGGTGGAGTGTTCCTCTGAGGTATTTTGGGGTTAATACAATGCTGAGAGGGTGGAGTGTTACCTCAGGGTATTTTGGGGTTAATACAATGCTGAGAGGGTGGAGTGTTACCTCAGGGTATTTTGGGGTTAATACAATGCTGGGAGGGTGGAGTGTTACCTCAGGGTATTTTGGGGTTAATACAATGCTGGGAGGGTGGAGTGTTACCTCAGGGTATTTTGGGGTTAATACAATGCTGAGAGGGTGGAGTGTTACCTCAGGGTATTTTGGGGTTAATACAATGCTGGGAGGGTGGAGTGTTACCTCAGGGTATTTTGGGGTTAATACAATGCTGGGAGGGTGGAGTGTTACCTCAGGGTATTTTGGGGTTAATAGAAAGGGAGGGTGGAGATCGATCATATGGGAATCGATACCTCAGGTTATTTTCGGATTAATACAATGCTGGGAGGATGGCTTGTTACCCCTTGGTATATAGGGGTTAATACAATGCTGGGAGGGAGGAGTGTTACCTCAGGGTATTCTGGGGTTAAACAATGCTGGGAGGGAGGAGTACCTTTTGGGGTTAATAGAAAGGGAGGAGAAGCAGTGTTGATGATTTGAATGAGGGGATTGAGTTAGAACTTTTTTGGTCTCCGTTTACTATTATTTTATATTTACTTCCTTTCTCAGGATTTGGCAGTCTCTCTCCCTCACTCGCTGGGGTTGGCATGTGAGCGACATGCTAGTCAGGTTTTCCAGAAAATGATGCCAGGCGGCCGTCACTGGCGTGGCAGGTTCAGCTCTGGTAAGATCTACCACCAGGGACACCCTTTATATCGAGATCGCTATTCACCTGCCTTGCCTTCCTGTGCCCTGTGTCCCAGTTTGGACCCAGATTAATTACGGGACAACTGTTTGTCTCCTTTCCATCCTGGTAGAACATATGGGAGGGAAGGGTGATGGATCAGGCAATAGATAGATTCATAGATAGATAGACCATATGGGAAGGAAGGGGGATGGATCAAGCAATAGATAGATTCATAGATAGATAAACCATATGGGAAGGAAGGGTGATGGATCAAGAAATAGATAGATTCATAGATAGACCATATGGGAAGGAAGGGTGATGGATCAGGCAATAGATAGATTCATAGATAGATAGACCATATGAGAAGGAAGGGTGATGGATCAGGCAATAGATAGATTCATAGATAGACCATATGGGAAGGAAGGGTGATGGATCAAGAAATAGATAGATTCATAGATAGATAGACCATATGGGAAGGAAGGGGGATGGATCAAGCAATAGATAGATTCATAGATAGATAGACCATATGAGAAGGAAGGGTGATGGATCAGGCAATAGATAGATTCATAGATAGATAGACCATATGAGAAGGAAGGGTGATGGATCAAGCAATAGATAGATTCATAGATAGACCATATGGGAAGGAAGGGTGATGGATCAGGCAATAGATAGATTCATAGATAGATAGACCATATGGGAAGGAAGGGTGATGGATCAGGCAATAGATAGATTCATAGACAGACCATATGGGAAGGAAGGGTGATGGATCAAGCAATAGATAGATTCATAGATAGACCATATGGGAAGGAAGGGTGATGGATCAGGCAATCAGAGAAGGTGTCACACATTCAGGTATAACGTGGAACAGAATACATTTCTATATTGGTTCTGCTTGTTTTGCTCTTAGATCTAGGTATCACTCCTAGTGATTATGCTATCTTTGCCAATCATACTGTGCTGGCCCCAGTTCTGGATGGAATGAACATGATGACTGTGGATCGACAGATCTGTGTGCTGTCTGTAGCCCTCACTAGATTCATGGAAGCCTGGATGGGACACATCCTACGGGAAAAACTCCGCTTCAGGTGGGTGATGGCAGTATGTGTAGACAGAGCAAACGGGTCATTCGGGTCATACCATTCATACTCGCTGTCTGTGTTTGGATTTTGCAGTCTTCGCTCATTTCCCTTTCCCCTTTACAGTCTGGTTGGTCTCTGTTCCCTCACAGCACTCTGTTAGGATTGTATTGTGCGTCTGTACCGTCCTTGCTCTCGAAGTTCCCTTCCCTTGCAGGATATCTCCTATTATTTTGCATTGTGTAGTCTGTGTCTGTCTTGCAGCCTGCAGGGAGCTCTTCAGCTGAGATGTGACTTTGAGACTGTTCGTGGTATGCTGCGGTCTCCGAGTTCAGGGCTTCCTTTAGAACTGATTGAAGTTGCCTTGTCTCTCCCCGTGTTCCAGCAGTCAGAGAATGCCATCACGTGTCTCCTGCAGCAGCCGTCTAGCAAGGCTTATCTTCCGTCTCGTACTTGCCCCCTTCTGTGGTGCTGTAAGTTCTGAGGTTAATGCTTGTTTCTTATCTTTATCTGTTTTTACATGTCCCGTTTAACCTCCTTCTGCCTCCGGTTTCCAGGCCCTCTGCCCTGCCGAGCAGCCGTGGAGACCATGTCTGACAGCCTGCAGAGTCTAGACAGCCTAGAACGCAGAGCATGGTCAACGCGCCGTTCTGCCAACTTGTCGCAGCACAGCCATGACTCCTACCTACCTCACAGTCAGCAGCAATGGCTGTCTCTGCGTGTACACAAACGCTGGGATGGACTGCGTGTACCTTGGGAAGGCCAGGAGATGTCGGCTAGCTGACAGGCTGCACCCAGGCAAATGCCAGCAGGGGATCTATGTTAACATTACAGTAAGGGTTATTCTAAATGGCCAACGGGTTCTGAAACCAATCTCAATCATGAGACCTCATCCAAGGCAGAAGGAATTCTGAGAGCCAGGTTTGTCTCATAGAGGGATTATAAGTGATGGGAAAAAGTCCTGCACTTGAGGCAGGTGTATAATGTGACAATGGGATTATCATTGATAGCAGACAGTCCAGTACTGCAGGTGGTAGTATAATGTGACAGTGGGATTATAAGTGATGGGACATTGCATTTTACCGCATTTGTCAGTGTGTTTGTTGGTTTGATGAGGTCAATATCTGTCCAGGATCCAGTCCTTATAATGTCATTATTATCTTTAACTTGGCACAGTAAGGCTATCCTTTGGGGTTGTCTGCCGGCAAAATTGCGAATTATAATTCATGTGGCAAAAAGTCATTTCTACACCTCCACATTCCACTGTGGTGACAGTATATGCATATTGTAAGTGTGGCAACTGGGAAGAAAGTAAGTTATTTTTTTACATTCTGTAATAAAAATTTATATTTTTAATAAACACATGATATTTTTGTCTTTGGTGTTTCCATCCTCATTAAATATCAGATCTACTTTGTGTGTGCTTTGACTTTCATTTCATGAGTAGTTTAGTCTGTCATGGAGTTTTGCCCTTATCCCTATATAACTTGGCCTCCAACGCCTTGTAGGTTATTTGCTGTTAGTAAGACAGAAAGCAGGATAAGCCATGGATGAAACATTTCCTTGATAACACAAAGAAAAAGGAAAAGCGATTTTATACAATATAAAATGTTTCCTTCCAAAAATTTCCAGTTCCAGGACGTTTTGTGCTTTTGGCTGGTCAAGTTCTTGAGTTCCATGTCAAAGAAATACTGAACGCACACTCTGGCTTTTTGGTAGCGTTTGTTCGTATGAACCATAAGAACAAACTTACCGAATGGCGCTCTCCTGACGTGTTGGGAAGGAGCGGGCGTCCGTTCAAGTTTAGCTGTGTTCGAGGGTTTCAGTGTCCGATTTTAGTTCCACGCAATCTACGCCCAAACACCGCTGCCTGCATTCTCGTGAACAAGATGGCCTCCACACAGTTCCCACGCGTTCGTGCATATGTACGACGGCCACCCAGTCTCACAATTAGAACCCACTCTGATAGAAGAGTCAGGACAGTTTAAAAAGGGTCAATAAGCTGAGAGGTGGTCCGCAGTTCATGGGTTGGTTCAGTTCACGAACAGTCCAAGGGAATCCCACGAACCCAGTGTAACAAAACTCCTCTGTGATTGCAGTAATTATGATGGTTTTCCCATCCCTACAGTGATTATGGTGTGGTTCTCCTTTCTGATATTTTATTTGCAACAAAGGACACGTCCCTGGACTTTGTTTCCCCCTTATCATTATATTCTCCCTTGTGTATTCGTGGATTGGTTCGGTGAATTAAACTATTACAGCCAGGATAATGTTATTGAAGCAGACGAACAAACTGCCGAACGACTGACCACCCTGCATGTGGAGTGTGCTGCTTGTTCGTATGAATGAACACGTGGCAGCGGCCATTTTGTTTAGCCGAACGTACTCAGGGGTGTTTTGTCGTCGGACGCCTGGAACTAAAATCGGACACTCAAATGCACGAACACCGCTGGGACTTCCACCTTCGTGCGTTTGGCTAAAATTCACACGAACAGAGCGCTATTTCTTGAGAACAATCTACCGAATGAGACACTCCAGTGGAGTAATGCACGAACAGATCCGTTCGTGAAATGTATACATTATGTGGATAAGAAGATAGATCGGCCGCACAGTCTAATTCTCTGGAACTCTTTTGGGCATGAAATCAAGCATGCGGTCAGTCAAATGTGACTTTCACAGAATTTGGGAACCCCTGCTTTAATCTGGGTGAACAACATATCCAAAAATCACCAAGATCAGAGCTATCCAGGGATGTATAATTTATACCTTCTTCCCCTCAACTCACAGCTTCGTCTCGTGTTGTAGGGAACAGCTATACCTGCTATATCACTGCTAGCTCTTTTAAGAGCTCTCTTCAGCTATACTAGCTCCTCAGGATATCGTGTTGGAACTCTGCAGCGCTCTCCATCTATGGGAAGAAGGATATCCAGACGGTAGACACCCTCACAGGACGGTCCTTTTACCCCAGGAGGCGTGCAGGTCGGTTGGAAAGCCGATATGAGCAGCTAAAAAGGACAACCCTCAAGGATCTACTGGAAAACCGTGGAGGGATTGCCAGCAATCGACCTAAAAGGGAGCTGATTGCGGAGCTACAGCAGCTGGATCATAACTCTACCATGGCAGAAATTACCTGGATTGCACGAGAACGGCTGGCAATCTATGGGCCGAACCCATCTGAGGATCGGATTGAGCAGGTCTTTGCAGAGGTGAGGGCAGAGGCCCAGGAGAGGAGAGAGCACGAGCTGAGGATGGTAGCCACTCAACGTCCTGCAGAGCCACCCACAATCACCCTTGCTCCTGCCAACCCGGAGAAGCAAAAGGTACCTTTTTGCTGCATTTAAACCGTTCCTGGGAGCAGAGGGGTAGATCACCAGCTATTTGGCGGACTTTGAAAGGCAGTGCGCACTTCACCAGGTATCCACAGAGAACGCACTCAGGGAAAGCCGCAGAAGCCTTCTGGGCCATCCCAGAGGACGAGGTAAAATAATATCACCTTGTCAAAGACACCCTACTTAAATGGTATGCCATAACCCCTGAGGCATACCGGCGAAAATTCTGGGACACCAAGAAACGAGGCTGTGATACCCACATGAAATGGGCTAACAGGCTATGCCGCACCACTACCCATTGGATCGAGGGATGCCAAGCCAGATTCGCCGAGGAGGTGCTGCAACTGTTTCTCCTGGAGCATTTCTTTAATAACTTACCGCAGGAATTTAGCCACTGGGAACGAGATCGACGTCCCCATACCCTCACAGAGGTAGCCTGCCTGGGTGATGAATATGCGGATGCCAGGCGACTAGATCCTGCGTTATCCCGACCCAATCCTCTAATGGATTCTCAGGCCCCCCTTGTATCCAGACCCCCTCAACGACCGGAATTTAGGGCCCGTGTTCCACCTGGCCCCACTCGCTATGCTGGTCCCCCCCAGAAACAGGTAAACGGGTAAAGTGTCACCAATGCTACGAACCAGGATACCTGGTGGCCAATTACCTTTTTGGTCCTCCCAGATCTTCCTGGAACAAATCTCCACCGGTGCCAGCCCCTGCGGCATCCCGTACCCCGGCTGCCTACTGCGTGGACACCGATATTCACTCCGAGGAATATATGGGGGTATTGTACGAGGTCAATCCCATCTATGCCGATTCTGGGGATAATAGACAACAGCACCGAGAAAGGGTCAAGGTTGACGGGAAGGCCGCCCAAGGATTACGAGACACTGGGGCTACTATTACGCTGGTACATAGGCACTTGGTTCCAGCCCATAAGCCTACGGGCCAAATCGTAGCTGTTTGAGTGGCTGGGGGAGACTTATTTCGCCTGCCTGCTGCCCGCATTCTCCTAGACTGGGGAGTCGGATCCGGTGTAGTAAAGGTCGGTTTAATGGACAATTTACCATCAGAAGTTCTTCTGGGCAACAATTTGGGCCCCCTCACTTCTGCCTACATTCCCACCTCAACCGCGGCGGCTCACCCCGTGACGACTAGGGCACAAGCGAGAACTGAAAGGACTAGTTCACCAGCTCGGGAGACCCAGGTAAGACACCACCTGACTGTGACTAACCCCCCCATACTGTGATAGCTTGGAGGAGTTTTTTTTTTTTTTCAAGCTTGGAGGGATTGCCTCCAATGGAGTAATGCACAAACAGATCAGTTTGTGCAATTTATACATTATGTGAATAAGAAGCTTGAAAAAGACCTAGATGGTCGAAACGTTTCCGTGGTTCTAACAAAGTGCCTATTTTGAACCAAGGAGTGCCGGGACCTTTTTTCCTTTATTTTACTACTTTGGGAATCTGGTGTTTGGTTTTGGTACAGCTAGAGCACCCTGGCTCAGACTGATGGGAGTAAGTGCAGTTCCCTACACACTCTATATGTACCAGTTTAAAGTCATGCCATTCTGGATGAAAAATGCCCCAGCTATGTTCCAGCGCTTGGTGGATAGACTCCTTGATGACTTCCAGGATTTCGCTTGTGCGTACCTGGATGACATCGCGATCTATAGTGAGTCATGGGAACGTAGGAACAGTACTGGATCAGATTCGGGCCACTGGCCTGACTGTGAAACCAGACAAATGCCATTTTGGTATGGCTGAGGTCCAGTTCCTGGGACACGGGTGGGGTGTGGAGACAGAGACCTGAGCCTGCTAAAATTGAGGCTGTCGCTAACTGGCCCACCCCTCGCACCAAGACCCAAATCCTGACCTTCCTGGGCACCGCTGGGTATTACAGATGCTTTGTCCCCGACTATAGCGCCATTACCAAACCCCTGACTGACCTGACCAAAAGAAACTTTCCCCGACAGGTCCTGTGGTCTCCCAACTGTGAAACTGCGTTCCAAGCCCTTAAGACTGAAGTAGTTCATACTCCTATCCTGGCTGCTCTAGTCCCTAACAAACAATTTATGGTTCATACAGATTCTTCAATGTTCGGACTGAGGGCAGTTTTAAGCCAGGTGGGAGAGGATGGAGGAGAGCACCCTGTCGCCTACATTATTTGAAAACTTCTCCCTCATGAGGTCAGCTATGCGGCAGTGGAGAAGGAGTGTTTAGCGCTGGTGTGGGCCTTAAAGAAATTGACTCACTATTTGTACGGACAGGAGTTCACACTGGTTACAGACCATAATCCACTTGTGTGGCTAAACCGCGTTGCAGGAGACAATGACTGGCTACTGAGATGGAGTTTGGCACTCCAACCCTTACAACTTTACCATCCAGTACCGGCCTGGCAAGCAGAATGGCAACGCGAATGGATTATCTTGGCAGACTGACCTCAATCCCTAATA